CTAAACCCTGCCATCTAGTGGCGGGATGCCAATACTCCACGGGTCCCGAAATCTATGTGCATTGTGGGAGATGTAGTTCATGGTCAGTGTACGTTTTCAATTAGTATAGACTTTTATTTTAAGACAGCCATACACATTTTAAGCTTTCGAGGGACACATAAAATGATTCGGCCCACGACCCTTGAGTTTGACACCTATGTTATAGAAGAAAGTGAGAAATGGAAACTACTGAATGCAAAACAAATTTAACAAGGAGCCCATGACTGCTGTTACGCGCCTGAGCCCAGCCCTTAGCAACCACGGAAGTCCACATCGACAACGTAAAACTGAGATACTGTCGCAAACGCCGACTATTATGATAAATTTCCCAACCAACATTTTCCGCGACTGTTCAACGATTTAAATCTGTCAATTTTAAATACACTACACAAGAAACGCGTATACAGCACTGAAACGGCACTTTAAACCTGAATTTGTTCCCTTTGTTGATGATATTTTGCTCTATTTCCGGCAGTGCATTATGTATTCGGTTACCCTAACAAAATAAAAGTTTGTCTTTTTCGTTTACAGCGAAATTGGTGTTCTTCTGTTGCAGTTTTTGCAAATAACTTTATGTAATTGTATATATTTATAAGCTTCGTTCCCCTCAATTCGTTAAACCAATAACAATGGTATTGTCAGGAATGAAGCATATTATTTCCTCAATTTGAAAGTAAAATACGATACATTCAATAATAAATGTCTTTTACAATATTCTCATGTACAGTACTGTATATCGCATTGTATTCAGAGGTCAATTTTAAGAAGCTTGATTTTAGGACACGAATATAAAATAAAAATACTATGATTGCTACACTTCTGCAGTTTTAATAGGCTATTGAGTTTGCGATTATTTTACTTATTTTGAAATATTTCAAGCCGTACAGGAAGTTGCCGATCGTTGTATTTGCAGTATGGTTGTCCGCAACTTGACAAATTTAACATAACTCTGGAAACGGCCTCAGTGACAGATGGTCTTTTCGTTACACAGGTGAGCAGTCTCAGTTTCTCGACAGTTTAAACACACTGTATCAGTTATTCACACGTTTATGAGCCTTCTGTTGCCGGACGAGGCGTTTCATAAACACGAGTAGGAGGAGGGGAAAGAGAGGCAGGAAAAATAGAAATGGGATTTTTTTGACAGCTAGCTTTTAACTAGCTTGGCCAGGTAAGGTCGCCTGGTACTGTAATGTTCGCTGAGGATGACCGAAGCCCAAGGACAGCGGTCATAGGACGAGCGAGGTTGCTTGTAGCTTATTTTTAAACAACACGATGGAAGCATATATAATTAATGGTGTGTGTGTTATACCGTGTAGTTATCCACCATCGCTTAGGTCCAACAGGACGGCTCAAAGTGCAGAGGGAGTGACGTTTCTGGGGGTATATTGTTGCTGCTAGCGTTTGCCTTTTGTTTTAACACGACAAAACATCCGCCTAATGTGTAATTGCATGTGTTGTTGCGGTTGATAGCGCAAACACTGCTGGGAATACCTCAGAGAAAGACTGAAGGAGTGGAAGTACAGGCCCAGCTGCTCCAAGTCCTCTCCTCTGCCATGGAATAATTTTTGGAAAGTTTCTGCCATAACACGTCTACCATCGCCCTTTGGTTTTTGCATCTTTGAAGGAGTGTCTCACCATTTCGCAGCTGGACGGATGTTGAGCATTGAAGCCCTGGTGTAAAGGGTTTAGCTCATGACTGGAAACCATGAAGCAGCCAGGGAAGTGACCTCGACACCACAGCCTGAGGGTGCCACTCACTGGCACCATGGCATCCAACGAGAGACTCTATGAGGTCTGGATGCGCTATTGCACTAAGGTAAGGTGTATTCCAGTGCACACCCCCACTGTGGCTGATTTGTCTTTTGTTGCACAGCCAGGGAAATGTCATGGGGTGAAGTAATGTGCAGTGTGAGGGCATTTCCTGCCTGGCAGAGGGTGTTTTTTTTGTCTTGGCACTTGCACTTTGGAAGTCTAGTGTTACTGGCTGTTTTTATGACAGCTAGAGTATATCTGCAGTAGCTGACGATGGTCAGTAGTACTATAGTGTGCTGACAGGCTATTTTAAACCAGTCACTTTGTGACATTGTTTCAAAGCAATATTTAACATCCTTTCATTCCACATATTACATTTTTCATGCTGCAAAAAGCTCCACTAAAACCCGGACTAATGAAATTGCTTGCAGATCCTGAAGGATTTATTGGTAGGGAACACGTTAGGCTTATAAATGAATAATTAATCCGTAGTGAACACATTGTAACCTAATATCAGGTGTTATAAATGGCCTCTTTGTAGTGGTGGTGTAGGTGGAACCTCCATCATATTGGTGCTGAGTAGATAATATCTGCTATTTAACAAAAAGTCTATCATTCTTGTTAACTGTAAGATTCATTACAAACAGAGATGCTGTGTGGTCCCATCAGGCTATAAAATTAATGTATCATAGCACAATCTCATAATGTGGTGCGCACTGCTGCAGTAAACGGTGCACTCCATGTATGACACTGCTTTGTTTATGCAATGCAAATGAATGAATAATAAGCTAACAGACACTGAACTTCTTGTGTCACCTGTTTACTAGCTTTAATTTAATCAGCGATAAAGCGTGCACACATCCAGGCATCCAGTCCAAATGGCCTGCCTGCGCCACCCCTCACGTGAACCTGGCTGCGATCACACACTTACGTCCCACAGTAATCCCTCACAATAACACACAGTGCATAACCCTCTGTGACAACAAAGCTATATGGCATCGAATAATCCTCAACCTTATAAGTAAAGCACATGTTGATACAAATGGAAGGTCTAACATCAGCAGTGTGGGTGTTTGGAGTTCATAACATAAGTGTTCAGACACACATTCGTCACATTCACTTGTGAAAATGCCAACGATTGCTGCAAGCATGCACATTGCATTTGCTCAAGTAGGAGTGTGTATTTGCACTGACTAAGCACTAAACTGTGAGGAAGGATAATTTCTTTTGCTCCTGGCTCAGATCCAGAGTCCTCTGGGCCAATATTTCTCTCTGCATGAGGCAAAAGAGATGCCGGGGGAGAAGCTTTTAACTATATATGTGTAGTGGCCTGTCTCATCTGTCTGAGCAGCTGAAATGTCAGGTATGGCCAGCGGGGTGTCTTTACGCATATATGAGGGTTGCCAGGATATTTTGGCTGTAAGGGAACCTGCAGTCACGTGGCCTAAATCAGATGAAGAATGTTTGTGTGTGATCCCTGAGACCCCTGAGTGTCACAAAAGGATTCATTGTTCCACTACCTCCCCATTGCTGCCTCTTGTTGCCTCAGCCCACTACAATGATTATGTCATCTTATGGTGTGCAAGGAAATAGTAGTAGTTTGAGTTTAGTTTGGTGTTTTGTAGACTCAGTCATGGCTACACTGGTGGTCTGCTTTGTCTGTTAAAGCAGAATAGAGTACAAGCAGCAGCTATATAACTCAGTTAAATTACTTGGAAAGTGTTTGTTACATTCTTGTGCTCATCCAGATACAGTCCTCTGTCTAATGATTGCCTACAGCAGAGATATCACTGCCTTTAGTGACAGTGAGGAGAGTTAGCCAGGTATGCAGTATGTTGCTGACAGCAGCCTTGAGCCTCAGTGGTCAAACCAGCTTGTCTTGTTGTGTCAGCTCGACATCAACTGTCCAACCCCACTGACTTCTTATCTCTGTATGTCATTATCAATCAGCCGATCATCTCCCAGTTCCTGCTGCATAAAGAGGAACACACTCCAATTAGTATCTTTGAATTCTGACATTGTGTTTCTAGCCAGAAGTGGCAGCTGGTCACATACGGATAATGATGAGGTCAGAAATGGTTGGTATTGAGGAGTGTGTGTTGTTAGTACTGCATTCAGATTGTATGCGAAGTTCCTGTCTAAACAAGTTTGATCCAGGTTCTTAACTAAGACTTCACACCATCTGATAAATGCAGCGAAAACGGGACAGGACACGGTGTCTCTCAGCTATACTGCCCTCCCATCATGACACTTTACTGCATACAGCTCTTCTGCTTTTATTCCAACTTCTCTACCCTGTGTTGTCAAAGTACGGTCTGTAAATTAGTCCTACTTGACACCTAACAAAGGTTATAAGATGCGTTTTTAGAATTACAAGGTTTGAACAGCATTTTGCCAATTGCCAGCCACAAAGGACATGTCAGGTTTGCTTTTCTTTAATGCTTGCTTCATACAGTATGCCAAGATCTTAACTGTATTTATGGATGTGCTTGTAATTTATATGATTTTATTTTTATATGATTATATTTATATGGTCAAAACAAGTGCATTTTACACACTGGCTACATCATCAAATTTACAAATTTAATTCCTTAATGAATATTATTTATTTTCCAATTAAATATATTGCTAGCACCATTATATGTAGAGATGCTTAGGTTTCTTAGATGCTTATAAATAGAATAAGCAAGAATTCCTTATATGCCTGAAACAATCAGATGGTGATGATATGTGAATTTTAGCAATTATAATGACAATCTGCAGTAGTTCCAGAGGCTGACTCTATCTCACTTCTCGGAGTTGTAGAGAGGTGAGAGGTCCCAGGCAGACGAAGATTACATAACCAGTGATCCTTTTAGCTGCCTGTCACTACTTTGTGCCAGAGTGTTGTCCCCGAGCAGACAGAGCCGTCAGTGTACAGTGACAACAACACAACGAGGTCATGCTGCTGCTTTTTCACCAGTGTATTATCCAGAAGAGCTTGTCAAAGAAAGTGGGGGGTTTAGCAGATTTCTGAATAATGCCAGATACACTCTTAGAGCCTTTGGCTGCTGCAGAAAAGCCCCTTTAATTCCCCACTACAAGAAACATACCTCAATAGCTAGGGGCAATATTTCACTCTTCAGTGGCTTTAAAGTTTGAGCCTAGTATCTTAATTCTAAAGGAGAAATCCTCTCTTCTTTTTAATTGTCTACAAACTAGGGCTTTCTGTTTAAAGATTCACAGAACCATGATCCTGTCTGATGTCTCCCCACCCAGCCCTACCCAGTGAGTGGCTTTTTAACTAGATCAGAGAAATGACAGTAATTTGCATAAACCCCTGCTCTTAGGGGAGTCGTTTTAGTGAGAATATTAGAGAGAGAGAGGTGAGAACAGAGAGAGGAAGAGAGAGAGACAGCTGAAACGATGGACGAGGAGTGACGCAGCGTGATTTGCATATTTTCTCAAGTAGATTACTCAGGTTTTTTCTAGCTTTGCTGCTTGTTTGCTTGCTACGGTCTAATCTTTGTAGCCACACACACATCTACTTGTATACCATGCCACACTCAGTCACACAAATTCACACATAAGGCTTTGGTTCATGTGCTGGTATGCAGAATTTATTCAGGTGAGATTTTGTTCTCACTGCTGTGTATTTCATTCCATTTCCCTCTTGCTTCTCATTTCGCTCTGTGCTATGAATATCTCTGAAATAACAGTGATGTCAGTGACATTGCGTATCAGACAAGCCTCGTGTGGTTTTAACCCTTCCCACCAGCCTCTATAAATACACCCCTTGTAGTGACGTCATGGCCAGAGGCGGTGTCCCTGACTGATAGGCAGTGATGTTGGGTTGTGATGGCGCAGGAACAGAAAGACCACAGTCTTCTTTTAAACCTACAGGGAGGGGACATTTAAACATTGTGGTTTCAGTGACTCCATGCCACTTCCATCAAACCAGGTCATCTGAAAGCAGCCAGTGGACCAGCTGGATGACCACGCCTGTCTGGAGGGGTGGAGCATTTGCTGAGTTGCTGTCTGTGCAGTGGCACTGCATCAATCAAGCAGTCTAATTACTCTAAAAATGCATCTATTAAATTAGTTGAAAATGCAGCCACAGAGAAAGTAAAGACACATTTAGCCTTAGGAGTTTTTCTTATATATTCCACTAACTTGTGGAGTTTTCTTGTACACAAACTAAACTTTTTACTGCAGTACATATCTGTCTAATGATTTTATCTTTAATGGTTGTAACATTGTTTTCTACCTGTTTAGTGGGACATTGTGATGTGATGTGCTTGGCAAAGGGTCTAATATGATAATGGCTGTACATGAGAGAGGCATGTGAGCTCTCACTGGAATAGTTTGAAACACAAGTTGACTGTGAGACGTGGGACAACAAGGTGACTGTTGTGTAATAGATTCCCAGTTGCACGTTTAAATCATTATGTGTGTCTGTGTGTGTTTGTCTTGTCAGGCTGGTGATGAAGACCAAGCATACACAGACCCCTGTAGAGCAGGGTGTGTCCTGGCCTGCTATAGTCCAAACCCTCAATGGGCATCTGTGCTCCCAAGCTGCTGCCTAAAAGAGGGCATTCTTTCAGACAAGCACACTCTGCTTCTAGCATGTTTAGTGTCTTGAGAGAGAAGCTGCTGGCTTAAATCATCATCTTCAAATTTCCTGGCTGTAACCTTCACATCATATAGGCAGTAGACTGTTGCTGAGCTTTAACACTAAACCAAAGTACATGGGCTCTTCTCACTGCAGTCAGTGATTCACACATTTGAGGTAGCGCTCAGAAAAAGAAGCACACCACAGGCAGCGTGTCCTCTCAACAGGACATACTATTCACACGTGGCTGTTATAGTTAAATCACACTCGCATCTTTCTTCTTCCTCTTCTCCCTCACACATGCACACACACAGCAGAGGCCAGTATCTCAGGCTTGTTCTGATGACTTCACTAGGAAAAGCAGAGAGCTGGCGTCCTGCTCGGTTTTGGCTGATTCTCACTGTGACACGCAGACAGAAACAGTCAGCCTCTCAACCCCTCTCCCACTCTTTAGCCAGATGGCACCACTGTCCTGACAAAACCCTATTCAGACCTGCAGTTCTCTTGTTTTTCTTCAGTTTTAAACACTAGTCTGCTCATTCTTTTGTTTCTAAGCAATGATGTGGTAGGAAAATCTTGATTTGTGGCCTTGTGCTCATGTGTAAATCTGTTCCTGTTTGTCACGGGATGTTTTCAGGTGTTTGCAGCGTCCAACTGGGAATAGCTGCTTCAGTGCAGGGAAGCCATAGCAACAGTGATGGAAAAATAAAATACATTAAAGCCTAGAGTCAGCCAAATGAGGCCAATTCAAGACACAGTGAATATTAGCACCTTATTTTACTGCTTTTTGTTTCCACTCTCTATCTGTTTTTTTGTTTCCTGTGGTAGCTGTAAAGGCTGGTTATCTTAGCCTCAGGATGGATGTTTCAGATTAGACATGTGTTGTCAGACCTACTGTATAGTTGATCACAGGATATTTCATTTTGATAAAGGAAAAACTAAAACCTTTGAGGCGCTGGAATCATTATTTTTCTGGCATTTGTGCATGAAAAAAAAAGACAGTTTGATATATTTTCAAATGTTCAGTTATTGTATCATTAATCGATCCTTTCAACTCTAGTATTGAAAAGTTGTTAAAAATCAAATCCGATGAAATGTCTGTGTCAGTTGTCTCTGATGGTATAGATGTGATATGGTGTGTTCACTTACATGTTAGTGGTGTCATTGATTATTCTGACAGACTGTGTGGAGCCTGTGGCCTGAACTGACTTTTAACCTTTTAGATGGGCTAATGAACTGGTCCCAGGGATTGCATCGTCAGCTGAGCTGTTGGGCTCACACTTTGGTGTGCCATATTGGGTGCACTGCCATGAAACGTATTAGACGCTCACATTTCCTACAAAGAAAATACTCATGATTTTAATAAACCCCTTTTTCATCCAGCTCCTCTGAATTAATTTCCAAGCTGTGCTCAGCCATCCACATCTCCTGGATGCTGTATGACTGTGGTGTAGAGCTGAAACAGTGAGTTCATAATCATTCAGTCAGTCAACAGAAAATTAACCAACTATTTATATAATCGGTTTGTCATCTTAGCCGTGTTTCATGCCAAATATTCACCTTTTCCAGCATCTTGAATGTGAAGATTTGCTGCTCATTTTGAGCTGGATATTAAAGAAAAGTAATTTGAATGCATCAGTTTCAGCTCTGGGGAACTTTATTTTGACAGAACCATTCATCAATTAATTCAGCAAAACAGCAGATTAGTTTATGAAACTAAGCATTGGTTGCAGTCCTACTGTTGTGTCTGCCGTAACATGCAAATATAATTGCTACAGCATGCACCCATCATTTATTTTTCAGTGTTAGATTATTTAACATTGGGACAGTATTGCTTTGAGCCATTATTTCTCAGTGACTCATTTATCTGACTAGATAAATGAACCTAACGTAATCTAAGCTTTCCTCAGAACAATAAATATAAATCTTCCTGAGGTGTGTCTTTCTTTTTCTGCTTGCAAAACAGTGCTATCTTTACCTTGAGCTGTGACACAGCAAATGTGTATTTACTGGCATGCTCTTGAAGAACAACTCACTTCTGTTTCTTTAAGCTTCTTTAAGTTACTGTACCAATGTTGGTTCTACACAATTTGTATTTTTTTAATGAGGTATAGAAGAGCCAATGCTCCCAGAAGTGATCAATTAGAGCAAGCAAGTATTGTGCGGCTTTTTCAAGTCAACATAAACCACATCTTTATGGTGTCAGATATTTCTGGTTAAACAGATTTGTAGTTTTACAGTGTGGTCCTCTGTGTTTGTTCCTGTGGGCCACAGGGATTTCACATTAGGAGCTCTACTTTGACCTAGCAGCCTTCCTCCATGGTTGAAAGTGCCATCCCATCTGTCTCTGGGCACTGTTCCAGGAATTTAGGAAATGTTGATCAGCCGGCTGTTAGAAACCCCCCTCAGAATGTAGCCAAGCCTGTTTTCCACTTCAACAGGTGCATGTTTCAGCTTCCACACCCTAAAAAGATAAGATACACATTTCTATCTGAGACCTTCCTGCTGTCACATGTTTGACATGCTTTGGAAACACTGAAGCACAACATAATGTACAGTATCCACAGCTTCTTGTCTCACGTGGAAGTGAAAAGGTCTGATTTAATGTTGTTTTGCCTTGCCTTGCCTTGAGCATTTGAAAGGTGCATTGATTTTTCATGTCTGAAATACAGAGAGAGAAAACAGGCTGTTGTTGTCTGGGAGTGCACAAAGTCACAAAGGACTCTTTAACAAACGTGTACACAAACAATAAATTCAGTCAAATTGCTGACAAGACCTGTCCACTTCCAGCCATTTAAGTACTTTATCCATGTCTCCTTTCTTTGCCCTTCTCTCTCTCTTACCCTTCTTCCATCTTCATGGTGCCTCACCGCCCTGCTCTGTCTTTTGACTCCTCAGAGGGATCCAGACTACCTGCAGCTATGGCTGGAGATTTTCATCAGCTCCTATGAGCGATGCCTGGATGTGGACTTTGAAAAACCACCTTCAAGGTAATTTGTGGCAAACTGTAATCACATAGTACATTTGTTGCAGTTCTTTGCATTAGGTCAATGCAAGTAGGTTATTATCTCTGCTTATATGCATCATGCACAGCACAGCCAGATGTTTTTGTGTTGCAGGTAATGTTTGATTGATGTTACTACATGATGCAAGTTAATATGAGAGCCCCTGAGTGCTCACCTGAAAGTCCGGGTGCATTATTTTAGTGCACACCTCAGTGCGTGGTCAGGTGGGCCTCTGTGCCGACCTTTGCCTGAGAGCTACCTGGTGAAACCTGCCAGTAGCATATGATTGTCTCAAAGATTAATCCAAGCACAGCTGGCACAGTGAAACTGCAACTGGCTCCTCCGGATAGTTGGTGTTTGTTGATACCTTTACTGTGGTGGCAGACAGTCAGTCACATTTTATAAACGAGGGAGAGTCATGTGAGAGGGTGGCACAGAGTGGAGGAATATGGGTGGTTAAATTCTATTTGTTGAGCTTTTCATCTCTCCATTTCCCTGTCATTTCTTTGTCTGCTTGTTACTTGACTAATTTTCTCCCATCCTGCCTGACTTCTTCAATCATCCTCCTCTTTGTGCTGTCTCTTAGTTTTTGTCCTGTGTCTTGTCTCCATTACCTCCCCCCTTCCTCTCATTCCTTTGCTCTGTGGATGCCACATCTGTCCTTCTTTCCCACAGACACTTATTGCATGGGATTGGCGATGCCTGCCATCTCTCTCTCTCTCGTTCTCTCTCTCTCATGAGCAGTGCAGCACACATGCTGTTTTTCCAAGAATGAATTCCTGAACGCACCAGGCATGTGTGCATGATTGAGTGAATGCTGCTCCTACAAGTTGCTCTTGTGTATAATGCAGCAATGCCTCTGTGATAATAGGTTGTGTTTAAAGTGTTCATCTGCACTTCAACAATTTTGAAATGAGCCACCTACATAACCCTGATGGATGAGCTGGTTTTCCTCGTCCTTATGTTTCTGGGTGTGATGCCTTTGGGTCTCCAGGCCAGAGGAGCTTCCCCCGGTGTTGACCCTCCTACCAGATAACATCCTGCAGGTTTTGCGCTACCAGTTGTTGCAGTGCGTCCAGAAAGCCCCTGATGGGCTGGAGCCTGAGCAGCAAAACCTGGCTCTGCTGCTGCTCAAGTTCCTCATCATCATCTGCAGGTCAGGACAGTAAACATTCAAATACTATAAAGAAGAAGAGGAAAGATTATGTCCTGTGAACCCCGTTTTATTCTGTAGATCAGGTTTTCATGTACTGCATTGCCCTGCAGTGTTTGCTGAAGTGTTTTAAATGGAGTGCCGAGTGACTACTAAGCTATGATTAACTTGTCCTGTATGTTTGTGTGCATTTCTGAAAGGAACCTGCCCAACGTGGAGGAGATTGGCACTTGCTCTTACATTAATCATATCATCACCATGACAACCCTCTATATTCAGCAGGTCTGACTCCTAATTTTTTGCACTGATTTAAATAAATTATAATGACACATTTTAAAAGTTGAAATGGTCCAAATAAAGCATGTATAGACATAATATTAGGTGTGAAGTAGAACTCCATGTGTTTGTTACAGCTGAAGAGCAAGACCAAAGAGAAAGAGATGGCAGACCAGAGCCAGGCAGAGGAGTTTGTCCGTCATGCGCTGGCTTTCTGCGAGAGCCTCTACGACCCGTACCGCAACTGGAGGAATCGAGCCTGCGGGTAACAACATCCAGTAGCTAGCCTAGCACTACTGTGTTCTCAAACACATTTAGAAGCTGCCAAATAGGATCACTGTGTAACTACAAAAGCATCTATGAAGCATTGTCTGTCTCTGGGAGGTATCCCTATAGAGAAGAGATTGTCATCTGGTGAGAGAGAATCTGATTAAGGCTTAAAGTTCAAGTTTCAGATTTGAAAGAGCTTTCAGTGTAGTCATAATAAAGTGTTCGTCATGCTTTAATGTATGCTTGCTTTTATACTAATTTCTTAAATGTTCTGTGTGTTTTTGTTTTTTTTCCAGGGAGAAGCAAGGTACAGTTGAGAGGAGCAGACAGAAGTACAAGGCAGCTCCACTCACGGTTGAGTTTGTTCCCTTCTTTTACCGTACGTCTTCGCTTCTGGGCTGCACTCTTTTCTTGT